TGGACGCTGGTATCCGTGTCAAGAGGTTTGGGAGAGGCCTGCCACCAGCAGGGGTGACGGACGTGTATTGAACGTGTGTGTGTTTATGTATGTATGTATGTATGTATGTATGTATATATGTATGTATATATGTATGTATATATGTTTGTGTTTTGGTTAATCCGAGCCGCATTACGAGAACAAGCCGAAATGGGTGCACGAAGTGCTGTGTACCGATGCGGGCTGCGTAGTCATATACACACACTGACACACCTTCCCCCTTTTCGACCCATCGGACCGCAGGGTCACGGAAGTTACGAGCGCCAGGCGCCGCAAGTGATGTACCGCCGGTAGTTGGAACCGTTATATTTTTATAATCTGAAGACGATGCTTAATTCTATAATTCAAATTTAAATCCAAATTTTAATTGAAATTTCAGATTTGAAAATTTTCCTTTTGTTCGAGTCAATTGCAAGGTGGCTGGACGGGTTTCCTTGACCTGGTGCTGTCGTACCCGTTCCTAGCGTGTACGACAGCGAGGTGGGGTTGAGGGAGTTTGGTAAGGGGGGGACGTAGCCGGTAGGTACCGTTCAAAGTCCCGAGCCAACCCGGTGTATCGCGTACGACAACACTGTGGTGTACGTGGGCTACTGCTTACTAAAGGGGATAGTGTGTATGTCTGTATGTCTGTATGTCTGTGTGTCTGTATCTGTGTGTCTGTGTGTATGTGTGTCTGTGTGTCTGGTAGGGATATCGTGGAGTGGATGTTGAGGAATGGTATTTTGCAATTACCTACATACGAACATACATGCATACGTACCTGCGGCGTCCGCCTGCGTGCCTCGTGTTTTGGGTGTGATGAGGGTGGGGATGGGATCATCTGTCTATCTGCCTGTCTGTCTATCTGCCTGTCTGTCGATCTGTCTATCTACCTGTCTGTCTATCTCTATGTCTATCTGTCTATCTGTCTGTATATCTCTCTATCTGTCTATCTGTCTGTCTAATTGTCCAAGTGTCTATTCGTCTATCTGTCAGTCTGTCCGTCCGTCACCCCACCTCGGAGAGCTCCCCAAACCCCAGCTGTCAGCTGTGTGAACGCAACAACAGCTGTGTCTGTGCTTCTCTGGTGGTTTCTTTGCCTGTACGTGCATTGATTTCCTTGAACTGTCGGATGGTGGCGGGACGGTGGGGAGGCCCCCGGCACGTAAGGAGAGAGCTGCTAAGGGACCCCGGGTTGCTGCGTACTGCGCCTCTCCATACATAGCAAAATAAGACTTAACTAGCTGTACGGATGTGTATTTATACAGCTACAGAATTGCATACATGTAATATGTTGTGTATGTGGGTATGTATGTGCGTTATGAAAGGGCAAGAGGGGACCCAAACGTGTGTTGAATTCACACCGTCAAGAGCGTATGACTACACACCTTCTCGCGGCTCAAATCACACTGATTTAAAACACACACGTAGAGTGTTGCGCACAACGCACCCATGCGCCCGTATGTCCGTATTTATGTATGTACAGGTGGGGCAAGATCCCCCCTGCTGTACATGAGGCAAGTTAGAAGTGGTGGCCTAGTAAGGGGGGGCTGGGAAAAGCAGCGCTGGGGTTAAGTTCCACGGACAGGTTCAGCTGGGGTGTTCGGGACCTTCAAAAGAATTAAAATATCTATCTATGTTGAATTTTGGATTTGATTTTGAAAATTGAATTTGCCGGAATGGATCCTCCCTCAAGACGTCGACAGCAGTAGTCCAGCAGTAGGCCAGCAGTTTTCATGGTGCCCCCGATGCATGATGAGGGCCACTTGATCATTTTGCCAAGGCCTGGCGAAAGCGTCCCGCCACAGTTGCTTGCTTGTACGACACTGTACGACCTGTACGGAAAGGCGGGAGTAATAAGCAGTGTACTGTCGGATGTATGTCGGGGGGAGGAATGGGATAAAGCTTGTTAGACAAAGAATGCAACGGAACAGATCCTCGGCAGCGAGGAGGGCCCCTAAAGGGTCGTGCTTAGTCGATGTACAACGAAGGATGTTGTAATGTGAGTATTTTGAAACTACAGACAGGAGGCTGATGACACCGATCACAGACGTTGCCCCCGGGATTTGACGCCCATCGCCGGCTTCAGCAGGTGGTGGTGGTGGTGGTGGTGGTGGTGGCAGTCGCGATGTGTTTCGATTGAATTCCACTTCAAGTCCGTGCCTTTGGCTGAAAGGCCTGCAGCGCTTTGCATCCCCCGCTGTGGGCGATACAGCAGTACGCTGCATGGGATGCGACCAAGCGCCGACAACTATCGACAATTTGCGCAGGCATGTTGCAAACTCATGTTAATTGCTATAAAATCATTTACGGTGCTGCGCTGTCATGTTCTCTCTATGGCGCGGACTTCATGTTGCAGCATCGTTAATTTGCGAGTGTTTCACAGTAACAAGTGAATAACTTCAAATGACGCCGCATTAATTCAACATATTTGATGCCGAATAGGTATACACACCTAAAGCGAAATGGCAGTGGGCAATTTGCACTTGTGCCTGAGCGTTCTGAATTGCATGCGAGGAGCACGCGTTGCCTTTCATCATAGAACCCATAACGTCTTTTCAACAGGTTACAATCGGTTACTACTTTGCGCCTTAGTAACTGCTATCTGCTTTCACGCAACGTCAGCGAGCCCAGCCGTCGAAGTCAACTGTCGCACCTGGCTAGGTCGCGCGATGTAACCCCTGAAGCGCACGCCCGTAGATGTAACTTCAGAGTCATATTTTTGATTTTAATTCATCCATTTTGTGCAGCGTTGGCTGCATTTGCCACTGGTATTAGCCCTTCTACGAAAGGGGGCGACCCAGATGCAAAAGACAGAATCGGTTGAGCAGCCATGGCTTCAATTTATCTTTAGAATTAAAACAAGCAACACGGAAACAGACAACCGTAACAAGTGGTACATTGAATAGTTTGCTTGGACAGTCAACCGTAGGTTAGAAATGAAGTCCAGTTAGCTCATTTAAGAAGTAATTTAGCCTGAGTAGCTAGTCTTATTATATGACTTGTATACTAAATTATGAGCCCCTTATCGGCACGTTAATCGGGCCCACCAGAACTCTGTCATTCCGTTACCGTTGTCCGGTTACTCAAGGAAATTTGCCGGCCAGACTGAGGCCGTTTGTTGTACAGGATGCACATTAGAGCATCCGTGTCGAGCCTTAACTTGCAAGTATGGCGAAACGTGGGGTAGGCCGACATGCAGCTATCTTGTAACGTCTGTCACAGCACCTAAGTCGCCAGCAGCTGCAACTCTACCATGGAGCAATCGGCGCATCTAGTTTGCTGTGAGTCACATAGACGTTCAAGTAAAGGCTGGCATGGCGTTATGGGGCGCCTTCTGGCGTTTGGACTGCTTCTATCGTTTGGTCCTGATACAGGATGGGCGTCTGCTGTGCAAAAGCAAGGAGAAGAAAGGTGATGATGATTTCATAATTTCATGACTCTAATAATTCGCACATGCACGTCAAACGGTGCTGACGTTCTTCGAGCTGCTACTCGGCAAATGCAGATGGAACTTCCTTGACGACGCGGAGGGGCCTTGGCATCGCGTGAACAAAGTCAGCGACTACTTATCAGTCTCCATACCCAAGACTGTTCATCCAATCCTCACAGCGCCTCCAGAAACACCCGCGTTGACCAGTCGCGATGCGCAGTCCGCATTGCAGCCTGCAGTTAGGGACCTCGCGCGCCGCCCTTTGTACACAAGCGTTGAAGGAACTTATCGAAAAAAATTCGATAAGCCTCTTGGGATTCTAAGAAGCACAGCGTTACGCCAACTGCTGCCAACGCTGCCGCTGTCGCATTACCACGGCGGAGCTCCTTCGCCCCTACTCGCTGAGGGAACTAGAGCCCTGGCAAGAAACGATGTCCGGTAAGATGGTTTTCTAACAACGCAAAGTCGCTTTCTTTCACTTCCCCAGCCAATTTAAGCTGTACTGCACAGCCTGCTGCATCCCATTTCTCCATGTCTTCGATTTCCCGTGCCTGAAGCGCCACGTTCCATCCCGAATGCCTCTTGGTCATGTACGGCAGTTACAATTACCCGTACACGTGCTTCATGTATCTCCTGCATCTGAGGTACAAATTGACAGGGTACATATCAGCCACGTTACTGATAACCTGCTATGTACTTTCTTGAGGTGCGTCGTGCGCCCGTACACGTATTGGACGAACAGTCGTACACTCCTACACATACCCCACACACACATGACCCAACACTATCCAACTCTACAATCCCAGTTCTTGCACCTTTGTCATCATCGCCAACAGCACTACACCCTTAAAGACCGAAAATCAACGTCGAATCCAATTATAAATGTGCAAAAATGCCCCAAGCTTAGTAAATCGAATAATTAGCTCATCAATTAGCGTGTGGTCGATTTCAATAAAAATCAACTGTCAATTTCAATAGCAACTTTTTTAATTATAATCTCGAATTTTAAAATTTTATTTCCTTTTCCTCAGGTCTGCCAAGCCTTCCGGTCGGCCGGTGTCGGAGGCCGGCATCTCTCGGCGTGTAGCCATTGACAGGGTCACAGACTTGAGTAGTACGAACCCACAGCGAGTACGGAAGAGGTCGTCACCCAGCCCGCCAATGGTTCCGCCGCCAACCAGTCCCTGGCTCCGGAACCGACCTAGCAGGGCATCACCGCCGCCGCCTAAACCCCCCGGGCTGCCGCCGCCGCAGTTACCGCCGCCACCAGCCCAACCACCACCGCCACCGCCGCTGCCGCGCTCACCTCCGCCGCCACGGATGTTACGGTCTAGATCGTCACAGCCGCCACCACCACCGCCGCCGCTGCCACCGCTGTCTCCACCACAGCTGCCACCTCCGCCGCCGCCGCCGTCTCCTCCACCGCCGCCGCCGCCACCACCGCCGCCGCCGCCGCCACCTCCACGGCCTCCACCGCCTCCGCCACCGCCTCCACCGTCG